CCTCCTACACTGATGTGAGATTAGACAGTATCAGGGACTGGGTCATCTGGATACCTCAGCTGCAGTTGAATGTCTTGAGACAGCCTTCTTCACCCACAGGTCTGCCCGCCTTGGTGTTTTTCTTCATGTGGAACTTCCTCTCCTGCCCTAGCATCTCGTGCTCCTGAGGCCTCCTTCATGTGGCTTTCCTTCTCTCCAGAAGGATAGTCAGTACTTATTTTGGGCTTCCAGAAGCACACAAGTGGAGCTGCCAGGTGCTTCTTCAGATTTAGAACCTGGAAAGGTCCAGTGTCCATTTCCCAGCAAATTCCTCTAGGCTAGAAGTGAGTCTTGTGGCCAACAACAGCATTCACTGCTGGGATGCGGGCCCTGTCCCCAAGGAACATGACGGACAGGAGGTTGTGGCTCCATTGGGGACCAACTCCAAGATGAAACAGCCCTAAGTTCCGTAAGAACTTTTTTCTTTTTCCTGAATTATGTCCTTATTCATATCCTATTTTTTGTTTGATTCATTAATATATTCAACAAGTGCTGCCTTTTAATGAAGCTGAATTTTTGAACACTCCCTTTTGTCTTCTCCCTAGCAATCTCCGTTTGTTCCTTTAATAAATTTGTTTCTTAGTTTATTATTTGCTTAATTTTTCTTTTTAAAGCCTTTCTTAAATTTTATCTATTCTATGTTGCTTGTCATTTGTAGTCTTCTTTTTTTTTTTCTGTTTGTGAGACAGAGTTTCGCCTTTGTTGCCCGGTACGAGTACAAAGGTGTGATCTTCCGGCACCACTGCAAAACCTTTGCCTCCCTTGTGTTCAAGTTATTCTGCCCCTGGCCTCCAGCCTCCCTGGAGTCAGCGTGATCTATAAGGCACCAGGCACCCATGGGCTAACCACAGAGTGAAAGGACCCTATCTCAAAAATGACGAATACTATAAGATATGGGAAAATTGGTTAAGCAACAATAAATAACCAAAACAAAACTTAAAGTTTTGACTGTCCAAATAACATTTCCTACAAGTCAAAAGATAAGAAAATATTCCAGAATTTAAAATTAAAAAAAAAATTAGAAATAACATGAGATACAAGAGTCAAGACAAGAGGTCTAAAATCCAATTAACAGATGCCTCAAAATGATCAAATAAAATGGAAAGGAGAAAGTTAACAAAAGTATGACAAGATTCAAGATTCCAACTTTGAAAGAGCCTATCCATAGCCCTATCCATTCGGTGTACCCAGCACAATGAATGAAAAAAGACCTAAGTACAATGTTGTGCTATTTCAGCTCACCAAGGAAAAGACAAAATCCTAAAAGCTTCCAGAGAGAAAGTCATACCTAAATGAGTGACACTCAGGATGACATGAGGCTTCACCACCATGACTGGTTAGAAGACAACAGCACAGACTTTGAAATTCTAAGGCAAAATTATCCTCAACCTAGAAATACATAATCAACCAAACTATCAATGAAGTGTGAGGGTAGATTATAACAAAAGTGAATAGTGATGGGGATGTGCTATGCAACAGACACCGTTCTAAATGGTTTACATGTACCAACTTATTTAATCCTCATAGC